CAGTTGTGAATTTTCCAAACAGAGCTGGAGCACAGGGATGGAGTGTTGAAATATGGTCCTTTTCTCTCAGGCATAGTGTGATGTCATCTTACAGAAGACAGCACCTTGGTCAGGTGTCTGTGAGAAGTTATTGAGCATAACAGTACAGAGATAGCTAGGTATGTGAAAATGGTAGTAGAGCTACTGACACTGTCTAGTAGATGAAGTGTGTATGTGTGTGGGGCGTGTGGATCACAGGATCCTCACCTGGGAGTTCAGTTGTTAGTTCTTCTGCATTTCCTTAGCTACATGTTATCTTGAGATTCTAGAGTACATAGGAATTGGAAGGGTAACCAAAATGTTGTCTTCAGTCTCCATGCAGTTGTCATCCATGATGGGATGGGACTTGGACGTGATATAGCTGCTTTGGGGGGACACATCTCAATCGTGTAACCCCTTGCTTACACTCTGTAACCTCAGTTAATTCACTGCTCTTTCAAACTGGACTTTGGCAGAATCATTATTTTAGTATGAAATTTGCACCTTGTCCACTCTTTATGAACTCACATTTTAATGCTTACCCTACTCCTGTCTGCACTCCATGATTGATGTCACTAGCTTGATTCCTTTCTCTCTGAAACTCTCTCATTGGTACAGACAATACTGATCAAGAGGGTGAATTCAGTGATGGCAGCTGGGGCAGTAGAGGTAGGCAGAGCTGCAGTGGGTAGGCAGGGTTATGTTCATGAAAGAAGTTAACTGGCAATGCCTCTCCTTCAGGAAGTTTAGTGGCCTGATCAGCATGGTGGCAGTGGGAGAAATGGGCCCAGCAGCTACAGCAGCAGCAGTGGAAACTGTCATTCATTTGTGAAAATCCACCTTTGTGCAGAGCAAATGCTGGTCACAGGCTTTGGTAATTGGCAGAAGCAGCTTTTTCCAACAGTACAACAGCCATAATCCTCCTGTCTAACTATATTCAGTCACTTAGACAAAGCTTCTAATCTGCCATTTCACCTGGAAGCCTTGCATTGTACCATCCCATTCTATCCTATTTAACAATCAATTTTCCTCACATTTCCCCTATAGTGTGATCTTTTCCCAGCAAGGAAAATAGTCTTATTTTTAGAAAGGAACATAAGTACATTCATTATCTATAACTACCATTCCACTTGCCTCTGCCCATTTCCTTTATGGCATTCCTTACTCCCCTTCCCACCTCTTGGGAGCTTATTCTCTGCTGAGGGAGGACTTGAACTCTAGGCCCCAGACCACTCTGTGTTTGTTGTTGTAGCAAAGGTCTGAGAATGGTAGGCAGAGGTTCTGGGTAATCAAGTTTCATTCATAGGTTGTTTCTTCAAGAATTTATATATCCTTTTGCAGTTGCTTTTTTATGGAACTTGAGATAGCACAGGGGGTCTGAATTAATGGAAGAAAAACTTTCATTAACTTTATCTTTATTAATTTGTAGTTGAGCACATACACAGACACAAAAGATTCACAAAGGGATATAGTTTGGAACATTGAAAAAGTCACCCCAGTCAGAATACACTTAATTACAAACAGCAATTGATGCAGGATAATCACAGAGTCAGCGAACTCCAACCCTTTAATCTGATCCTTTCTGTACAGTTTGAGCTTGGAGCTCCAGAACTTCATAGTTCACCCTTGCTGATTTTCAGTCAGAACAGTTTCAGAAGCAATCTTTGTGTCTAGGCAAAGGGCCTGCTTTGGCAATGCATTAGGGTAGAATGGTATTCCAAAGTCCAACATCAATGTTCATTATTTGGGGGCTTTTCCGTATTCTATGTAAATAGGCACACATAAATAAAACATTGGGGTTTTTTTCTGTTTGATTTTGTTGCTACTTAGTTTTGTGAGCTATTTTAGCAAGAAGTGGTTAAATGTAACACCATAGAACACTTTAAGCACACTTTAGAAGAGCACCGTAAATTAGCACTATTACACGTAATATATTACTATTTTATCTAAAACTAATAAATCTTAATATATAATTACAGAGAAGTATATTGAACCATAAATAGAGTTCTTAGAAAATATTACAATTCAGAATACATACTGTGTGCTATCTCCGTTAGCACTTAACCTCTCTCAAGGTTTCTCCTTTGATTTCCCATCTGCCACCTTCCTGAAAATAGAAAAGCTAAAATACTTGAAACACTACCTGAGAGGCTAACTCAAAAGTACTCATTTGCCTATAACTTGGCTTGTGCTTCTTTTGTCCCACTGTCTATAATTCAGCTAGTTTCTCTGTCCCTGTTCTGGAAATCCTCTTTGCTTGCAGCAGTGTTCACCTGCCTAAGCTAGTTTCAAGTAGTCCGAATAGGCAGTAGAAACTTCTTCTTATCCCCAGTGAAAAGTCTTTTCTTACATATCTCCATTGCCTTCTAAGTTATGTACAGATCAGCATTTCAAGGGGAGAACAGCAACATTAGTATTAACAATAAGAGTGGTAACAATTGTAATCAGCATAGTAACAGCAATAATCACAATGCAACAAGAAAATGAAACTATTAACAATAATAATACCTTTTTTGACAGATAACCCTTACAATAGCCCTATAAGATGGTAGGTATTATTATCCCCATTTTACAGATGAGGAAACTGAGGCACACTAAGGCCAAGAGACTTGCCTGAGGCCATACAAATAATCGAATCAAGGAAAAAAAAAAAAAGATTGGTCCCATTACTCTGAGTCCTGGGATTGTTTTCATTGTAGACACATCTTGTCCTATATCAAAACTTTTGTTTCTACAGATGGCATTTCTATCATAATAATTGGGTATATACTAGATTTATTTGAGTTGGAGGACAGATTACATTGAACCATTCAGTCTCTGCTCAAGCAAATCAATTACATTATTATAGTCTTATGTGTAGGGTAAAGTTTGTGGCCATGAAAAAAATAGTCCCCTATGTATAATAAGCTGAAACAAGATTACCATGACATAGTTCTTAAATTTATAAACAGATACTAATACTTACATTTATTAACAGATAATAAATTATGGCAAATCTAAAAGAAAGTAAAAGTACAGAAATTAACTAGAAAGTCTAATCTCATTAAAGAATGCTGAGACCTCAAGGAAACTGCCAAATTCTTCTCAATATCCTTGTGCATGGTGCCCTCTGATGGATGTTCTAAGCTAACATAATACACAAAAGCAAGAATGTTCAGTCTTCTACTGGGTAGGAAAGAAATACCTGACATAAATAAGGTGAGTGAAAGTGAAAGGAGATCTGTGTAGAGGGAAAACCAGAAAAAGGAATAATGAAGGATTAGCTCAACACCAGAGAGAGAGAGAGAGAGAGAGAGAGAGAGAGAGAGAGCAAGAGAGAGCAGGGGAAGCAAAAAGAGAAGGAAATGGGCTAGAACCTAGAGTGGAACAAAGCACCGGAAATGGGGAGGCTTCAATTACTGAAGAGATGATGAGCCTCAGCACATGAAGTTGTGAGCCTCTGGTTAAGGCAGCAACCAAAATCCAAGTTTGAATAACCCAGAGCAAACAGATATGGAAAGTGAGCACCTGGGTGAAATGTCAGAAGGAGAGAGAAGCAGTTAGCAAAGGTGTTGAATGAAGGCATGAGACTGCTAAAGTTCTCAAGAGGAGTAAAGGGATAATAGAATATTAATTAATATGAATTGAATTGAGAAGGGTGTAAAGAGGGGGAAATAAAACTAGAAACATTGGTAACGAGATAGTTGGGGAAAGCATAGAAATAGCAAAGGAATGGAATTAACAAAGACGAGCACAACTTAGGTTATGAATCTATAGACTTGTCACAGAGAAATACATAACACCAAAAGAAAAACAACTGAGGAAAAGAAAAGTGAAGCACCAACAGTAAAGATACCCTGATTCTAGAGGCAAAAGAATTTGCCACAACCTAAGAGCCTCCAAGACTTCACTTTAAGGCATGAAATCACATCTAGGCTCAGTTAGCATGGAAATTACAGGTAGAAATATGTGAGAGCACCAGGCAGATGGGTAGTATGAGAGGTAACAAAGAAGCAATATATACAGGCTTACATGTATCAGAACATAAAAAATGTGTATGCATGTGCGTGCTTGTATGCAACTGATTTTGCCATTATTCCAATTGAAGCTGCAACAAATTACAGTTGATGGGGAGTAGTTGAAGTTGGAGATACTGACCTAGTTGTTTTGTAAATACCAGGAAAAAAGTATAGTCATGAGTCAGTGTGGAATCAACTGTAGACAGTTCTGAGAGGAAACATCAATAAATTAATCAGAAACCACATACACAAGTGTACACTAGCTAAATGTAAACGCGAAGGGAGTTCCTCCATGTAATAAAGCCCACAGTTCTGGACAAGGTGAGAAATAGGAAACTTGGGAAATCAGTCTAAAATCAAGAACTGAAAACTGAGTCTAGAGAGTCACATTTAAAAACATGTAGATAATAAAAATCCAGAGCCGATCACCAGTAGTCTTGTTCCTTAAGGTGAGTATTTGCCTCAGACTAAGTTGATGCAGAAAGTAAATATACGAGAGTAGCAAGAAAGTGCTCAAGGTTTCACTGAAGAAATGAAGGTGTTCCTATTGGCAAAGAGGGGCCACTAAGTAGTTTTCTTTGTAATGCTTTACTCATGACCTCTTTCATTTTCAGTTTCTCCATCTTACTATTACTTCTAATGATAATCACAGATCAATAACCCAGGCAAAATGAGTGTTTTTCAGGGAATCCAGTTCTCACCAATGCATCTCCAAAATAAGTTAGCTGAGTCAGCTAACCCCTACAATTCTTATCACAGTGGACATATCATATATAGTTGTACTTCTTCTGATTCCAGGACTCAGAATCATAAACCACAAAAGAAACCTGGGGATGGATCTATAAGCGTGTCACCATGATAGTAAGTCTTTTTACTCAACATCTGGTTTAAAACCTATTCACTGCTGACTGACTTTTCTTTGCTAAGATACACATTTGAACAAGATTCCAAGGGGTCAAATGGTCTCTTAGTATGGTATACACTTTACTGACTGGTTGTCTGCATGTGGATGCAAAAATAAGCATCCTGGGGTGGGGGAACCTCCTCTTCATCCAGTGAGGGATCTGGATCTTCCCAATCCCCTTGGGCAGAGGCCTGGGAATTCTCCCCTGTAGCCACACTGGGATCCTCAAATACCTGGGGCTCTGGAACAGCCAGAGGAACCTGTAACAGTGAAGATGTCTGGAGCTCCCGAAGCTCATGACTTTCCTGTGCCTGCATCTGCTGAACCTGGGAGCTCTTACAAACTAACAGGGATTTCATTCTGTAAGATGTTACAGATCTGAGTTTGGCACGGAAGCTCCTGTTGAGCCAGCAGTAGATGAAAGGGTTGTAGCAGGTACTACTCATGGCAAACCAGTGAAAGGCATAGAAAAGCACACTCTCATTTTCTACACCTGCACTGGAAATAAGAACCACATAGCAATTCAGTGGGAACCAACAAACTGCAAAGACCATTACGATAAGAATCAGCATTCGGATACTCTTCTTCCGCTTCTGGTAGTGTGCCAAAAGTTGACGAGCGGATGCATCACCAATAGCATTTTGTATCCACAGCCTCTTTCCTAGGTGAGAATAGGTTACAACAATCACCAGAAGCGGCAGGATATACAACAAGCCAAAGGTCCCAAGGTCCACATACTTTGCAACCAGTGTGCTAGGTCCAGGAAAGGCTGGAAGACAGTGGCTTCTGACAACTCCATCTCTGGAGAAAAGAATAGAAGTTATGATAACAAGAATGATTTAGTAGACCTCAGAAATCTTGTGTTATAATGTGTACTTTGTCAGAATATGTTCGTAAGAAATCCAGCCCCCTTGAAACTTTATGTCTCAATTTCTCCGATTTTAAAATTGCGGAATGAACTAAAATATCATCTCTTATAGGTCTAGTGCAGGCAGGCCAAACTGAGGTCTGCCAGATTCTTCATCACCAGTGTTTCTAACCTGATGGCCTATTCTTTTGACTTCATTAATACGTCAGAATTAGAAAAAGGCACAGTATTCTCTTATATGGAGGTGATTCAGATGAAATTAAGGACATTTCAAATATCAACTTCCTGAGAGTCTCTGTAAAGAAAAAGGTGAAACCACCCTTTATTTATATCTGACTTACGGGCTGATGAGGAAGGTCAGATTTTGGTAAATCGCATGTGGAAGAGCCAGGAAAACTGCAACACTCCAGATGAGGATGACAACCACTATGCTCTGAGAATGTGTAATCCTTGGTTTCATCGGATGCAGAATTACCTAGAGAAGAGAAGCAACATGCTGCCATCAGCTCAGGTCTATGGAGTTTGCATGGCTATACACAGACTGAAGAACTCCCGATTGGATTACATAATTTACCTGGACAGTTAATATAATTTACCATACTCCAGTATGACCATTGATGGATTGTAGGTAGTTTAGAAAGAAAAAAAAATGCATTTAAACCATATATGGTATTGAAAACACTGAAACTCTAAATGGTACCCAGTTGTAGGAGAAGTAGTATGATAACATATACTATCATTAAAGATTACCCCACCCTGAAGAATTCTGTAAACTGTGTAATCTGCCTGGGCACTGCCCACTCCATGGTCTTTAATTCAGAAGTGCTCTTCAGAGGTCTTACCCGGTGCCGGTCCACGGCAACTGCCATCAGTGTAAGAGTCGAAACGTGGAGGGAGCAGTACTGAGCAAATCGACTGACATGACACATGATCCTACCAAATATCCACTGTCCACTCAGGAAGCGAGCCTAGGGTATAAAAGCAAAGGAAGGGCTGGGTAATTATTCAAATATTGCTCTCAAGCCTGCAGAGAAGCTAGAGTCTAGAATGGAGGCCTCAGACATGTTTATTCAATGGAGGCCCCAGACATGCTTATTCCCATTTGTTTCCTTAGTTCCATTACCCACTCCTGAAATGGAGCAGCCTGTTTCTTTTGTGTTAAACCAACTCTATATAAGTCACTCACCACAGCAAATGGACTGTTGAGCAGGATTATCAAAATGTCAGATATTGCAAGATTGAAGATGAGAAGGCCTGTTGATTTCTTGATTTCTTTGTGCTTGATGAAAACCTGGCATACCAAGGAGTTGCCAAACAGGGATATCATTATGATGACAGCATATGCTAAAGACAGCATTATCTTCGCTGCGAGGTGGGGTCTGCCCCCTAGCCATTTCCTGGCTGTTTCTGTTGGCCCTTCCCATTCTGGAGTGGAGACATTGGTTCCATTCAGACCTGTGTGATTGCAGCTTTGATCCTCCATTAATGGACTCCAGGTGACATTTTGGTGGAGCCAATCAACAGCGCTTTCCACTGGTAATAGGAAAGGGGATGCTTCATCCAATGAAGTGTTCATTTTGGCTTGGGATGATGAATTAAGCATGCCACAAATGACCATAAAGGATACAGATGATGAATTCTTTCTCCAAAGCCCGATAAACAGGAACTCTATGAGTAAAGTACAATAATATACATGTATGAAAAAGCCATAATAAATCCCACTATATATATACCAACTAAAATGATTAATTTAAAAGAGAAACTACCAGATAATTTTTCCTACTCCCCTAATAGGTTCAAATCTGACAGAGTATGATATCTCAATGACACTGAGTCACAAAAAAGGAAGCTATATGTAGTCAAAGCTAAAGTCTATATGCCCTATGTTCCATCCAGGACCCTGCTTTTCATCTCCAAATCAGAACTGTAGAGCAAGAAAGGAGTGGAGTACTTCATTAAATATGATACACTGATAAGGCATATCAAGGTTCTGGGTGTAGTATAAGTTGAAAAAAAAGATGTTCAGATATTTTTATCCACTAGATATTTTATTATTATTTCTTATTAATCATTAATTAACAGTGACTAGGGAATTGCTTAATGAAACCCACAGCAAATCAATTTTAAAGACAAATAGTCATCTTTCTAATGTAATTAGTTTTTTTAGCTCCATTTTTTAAAATGAACCTATTAAAACTAATTTCTTTCCTGCTGCAGGTACAGTCAAGGGAAAGTCCTTTATCAGTAAATGTGAACAAGGACACCCAGACAAGCACCACTGTAATGGAAGTAACAAGCAGTTTGCATTGCAGTCCCAGTGAATATTACCATCACTAAGTGAAATCATTTAAGTGATAAAAATTTGCATAAATTCATTTTGAGGTCTATTTGGGGTTAAAGCCTGATAAATTTCCAGCCCTTACCAGTAAAATCTTAGCATAAAACATCAGGCTGTGATTCTCTTCTCATCAAAATTTATCTAAATATGTTTAAATTAATCAGTAAGCTTCACTAGCAACCACTGATACTCAGTTAAGGTTGAGGATGATGAAAGAAGTTGTTTACTGAAAAGTCACTGAGGTAAGCCTAACACCAAATAATTGGCAAATGTTCCAAATTGGAAGACTAATATAGTGTGAAATGAAGATGTAAGTGGTCTAGGAATTGAGGGGAAAAGCTTTAAGCTGTATTTGTTAAAAGGGTAGAATAAGATCTAAAATTTAATGTATACAGATAGACATATCAGCCTGGATTCTCACTGATACTGTGCCACGTCAGTCCCTAGAGCAGTCAGTGCTATCTAATGCATATTGCAATCATTGAATACTTAATAAATGAATGCTTAATTGAAGTTATGCTGTTAAGGTCTAGCAGGAGAGATAACTAAAGATTATGGCTCTAAAGTTATGCTAGGTGCCTTAGGGTGGGATTAGGGGAGTCTGACCTTTCTACCTTGACTTATGAAAGCAAAAATATATTTGGGACTCTTCTTATTTGAATCAATGATTTTTACATAAATAAAAAAGATCAAATTAGAAGAAATGGGACTCTAAATAGATGACTAGTCTCTACCTCTAAGGGCTGGCACCCAGTTAATAAAGGATGAGGTTAAGTAATTTGTATTTTTGCGTACATGTGAAAGGGCAGGATTTTCACAGACTCTAAATTTAGAAGGAAAGACTTTTCATTTCTACACTCAAACCTGTCACTGACATGCAGTATGACTTTGTGAAAATAAACTGTCTGTGCCTTTAGTAAGATAACTATGATTGACAACAATTAACTGCATATATTTAAATTTTAGAAAAGCACTTGAATATTCTCAACATGAAAGAATGATAAATTTGTGAGGTGAAAGATGTATCAGTTACCACAGTTCAATAAATGTGCTTTGTATGCCTGTGTCAAAATGTGAGGCTATACCCTGTAAATAAAACAAAGTCAACTAAAAAAATATGTACATTTAAAACTTTTTGTGCTTTGGTTTCCCAAACTATTCAATGAAGATAATATATATTTCATCAGTTGGCGGTGAGGATTAAACTAACATGATGGATAAATGTAGGAAAACATATGCTATTCAAATACAACCTTTATTTTAATTCTATTGACCACTTTTCCTTCTTGACAGCACCCAGCTCCCCTTCACTGTGAACAACTCCTCCAAAACAAAAATATCTCTAGGTTTCCTTCCACTGGCAACCTGCTTTTTTTGTTGTTTTTAAGCTAGTAAGTTCTTGTTCAAAGGAAAAAAAAAGGAATTTGTGTGTATGTGTGTGTGTGTTTGTGAGTGTGTGTGTGTGTGAGAGAGAGTGAATGTGTGTGTGAGAGAGAGACAGAGAGAGAGAGACAGAGAGAGAGACAGAGAGAGACAGAGAGAGACAGAGAGAGAGAGAGAGAGAGAGAGAGAGAGAGAGAGAGAGAGAGAGGTGTTTTCCTGGGAGCTCGTGTTCACGAGTTTTGAACATGAACATTTGTCGTACATGAGCTTTCTGTTAATGATTCATATAAGAAATTGTGTTCTATTTCTTATGTGAACCTGTGTGTAGCCTGTTTATGTTTTCATCAACTTTTATAGTATGCCTCTTGTAGACAACAGCTGTGTGGGTGTTTTGTGTGATATACTTACATGCTGTGTGTTTATATGGTAAGTTTCTCTGCTGTATATAGACATGCATAGTATGTTTTGTTGCATATGTCTGGTATTTTTTAAGGGAACATTAGTGTAGTGTTATGATGGTGCATATATTGAGAAGTTAAAGATTTTCTTTCTTTCCCTCTCTTCTCACCACCTGTTTCTGTCCCCTCCCCCAGTAATAAATCTGTTATGGAGAACTGAGCATGGAGCTGTTTGATGCTTAGGATGTCTGAAAATGTGGGTTTCATACTCAGCACTTCAAAATAAATCACCAAAATGAATTTTTACCAGATACAGTGTCCCACAGCTGTTACTCCAGCACTGGCAATGCTGAGGCAAGAGGATCACAAGTTCAAGGCCAGCCTGGGCTATAATAACTAATTCCAGGTTGAGCTGCATAATGACAGCCTGTCTAAAAAAATTAAAACAACAACAACAAAAACCCAACAACAACAAAACAATAGTTCTTTGGGGCAAACAAGGAAACCTTATGCTAAGGTCCATGATCCCTTTTGACCCTACTTCTTCCCTGAATATCTTTCCAGACTAGGGGCAATTTTGCTGTGGGGGCTCCTCTGGGCATATATGCTCCAGGATAAATTTCAACGGGGACAGGTTTTAAGCCATAAAGGTTTGAGCCTCTGCCCCTCCCTCTGTTGCAGTGGAGTCTGGTGTGTGCGTAGGGTGGGTGGGGGGAGGAGCACCAAGTCGTTTCTAGCATTTTCTAGAACAGCACATAGGGATGGGCTCAAGAACTTCAGATTATCTAGCTTGTAAAGATCGGCTTCTCCCCCACAAGACATCTCTTTAGCAGATGAGGGAAAGGGGGCAGTGTAGAGGAATATATCCTTTCGTTCACAGCCCCTTCCCCAAATTTCAGGAGGGTGGGCATTAAGGGACAGCGTCATCATGAGACCTCTCAGTCTCGTGGGGGGTGGTTGCTATTGGTGACCGCCCCTCAACCTCCAGCAACGCCCTGGAGACTGTGAGATGCTAGAGAATTCTAATTAAAGAGATTTGCTCTTTTTTCCTTTTTTTGTCTTGCGGGCAGAAGGGATGTCAAAGAACAAATCAGCCCCATTCTAGACTAAGACCCCTCCCCAGTTATAGAGCAAGGGATCCCAGGAAGAAGGGCTCCTGTGGGAGGAGCATTAGCCCTGACGCCAGTCCTTTCCAGCCCACCATGGCCATGAGAGCAAGATGAGGAGGAGGGTGAGGGGTCTTGAGAAGGGATGCCCAGGCTGCAGCTCTGGACCTTGCCACTGGCTTTCCAAGTGTAAGAGGACAAGCTAGCAGTTGTGTGTACTTAGAAGAAGAAAACAAAACAAGCAAAACATTTTTTCTTTTGATTGTGGAAGCTTGGCAGGAAATAGGGGTGTAGAAAACAGAAGCAGCTGATGTACTCAGAGTACAGATGGGATGCAGGGAATGAAGGGGGGGGGGGACTCTCCGGGGAAGGAGCTGTGGAACAGGTACCCTGACTTTTCAGGAGTGCCACGATCCCTGCTGACAGGAACAGAGAAAAACAGGAGGGAATTTCTAGGGACTCTCCCAGAGCTCTTAAGAACAAGGTTTGTGCGCTCACTCCCAGGTAACCTATGAAAGAAACGCATTCCCCATATCAGGTTGAGGCTTCGAAAAGTGTAGACTTCGGACTACCATACCCCTTACCCCTTCCATTATATGGGCAATCTGACTTGATCTGCCCATCTCCCTGTTTGCCTGCTGTCCGTTGCAACGAAAGCTGCTCCTGCACAGATTTCTCCCGCCTTTCCTGTAAATGTTAAGTCTTACCTTAGAGCGCTTAAGTAGGAGGACTGGAAAGACAGGAGCCTTCCAGCGTCAGTGTGCTGGTCAAGCAAGAAAGGGGCGACTAAAACGACTCGTCGCCCCGGTCCTGGATCCCGGCCCACTACACAGCCTGAGGTGTCTCGGGTTCTGCGCACCACAGCCAACTGCTGCAGGCAAGGAGGCTTGCGCACTACCCCGCGTCAGTGAGATGGGTAGTGACCCTCAGCAACAGGGGGCGGGGCCCCAAGCGGGTTGGCAGAGCTTTGCGCGAGACTTTGCCTCTACCACGAGATGCTGTCTGGATCTGCAACGCAGAGGGGGGCACAGGTGGCTCCCTCCGCCAAACCAGAGCTAGTTAATTTTTCAGACGCCAACTGTGTAACTGGGACTCCAGTCGCCCCTATTGAGACGCAGGCACTTTAGAGGCTAAACCATATGGAGCATCTGAATTTGGGGAGTACAGTCCTTGGTTTTTAATCCCACTCATCTAAATTAGACCATTTCAAGTCACCAACCAGGATGCATTTAACATACATCTTCCTGCTCTTGTTCTTTCATACCTAATCTCCTGATTACCCCACCCTAGCCACCCCAAGGTAACTTGGCCTTCAGGGGTTTTGTTTGGTTGGTTTTGGATTGGGGGGGGG